GGGGCTAATTGAGCCTCTTGGGTGCAAAAAACCACAAAATGTGCTTTTTTTACCAAGCTAAAGCACATTTCCCGTAGTGTCTAGGTGAGGGTGTTGTTCAGTGGTAACTACCACCCCAGCGCCGTCCCTCCGGCTCCCCAAGCACTGTCCCCTGCTCCCCCGTCCCTGGCACCCCTCGAGGCTGGCAGGGATGGTGGAGGCATCGGGTGGGCACTGTCCTACAGCGGGCAGCCCGAGGCAGGGGGGTCAGTAACTGAACGGGAGGGACAGCATCCACCTGGCTCCGGTCCCCCAGCTCCCACCATACCCCCCACACACCCGTCGACACCAGACACACAAACCATGTCCTTCCCGGTCACGTTGGTTTTGATATTTGCTGACTGCACTATAAAACAGTAAATGAGAATTATAGAAGAACATCTCCTGCCGTCAGCTTTTTTTAGATCCTGAAAGTTCATTTCCTTTCTCTCCAGTTTAACTTTGCATTTCCCATTGCCATTTGCAGTCATTTCAACACGGCACGGACATCACCGTATTGGAAAATAATTACAATGACAGATTTTGTTTTGCTGTATGAGACCTTCCACTACTGAATCTAATTACTGTTGATACTTTATGAGCTCCTCTAGCACGAGGTAATTGCTGCTTTCTCTTTTTATGAGCAAGAAATAATCAGTTGTCTTTTAAGGTGAGAAATATAAACAGCAATTAAATCCCATGGCTATCCAGCCCCTCTCGTCAGCAGGCACCTCTCGTCAGAAAGCCAACACAGAAGAAGGTTAGGCTTCATTTAGCATTTCCACCAAATACTTTTTTTAACAGAGGGGAGAGGGAGAGAATAAGGAACACTCTCGAATGATCAATGGTTTTCTCCAGCTGATGAAATGCTCATTTTAATATGGAGAAGCAGGAGCACTGCACAAGTCACAGTGCTCAGCATCAGCACCAAGCCCTTCGCAGGATCCGGCCTCGGGGAAAAGCTGCAGAGACAGCAACAGGCTCGAGCAGCGGGGGCACAAAACCACACTTAGCTCCTACCAAAACCTGCTGCTTCGGCAGTCTTTTCCCTCATCCAGTGTTTCTAAAAATATATTTATATGTACGTATCTCCTAGACATCCTGACATCAGCACGGGGCCCTTGGTTACTGCATCACATGTGGAGGAGATGGAGCAGAAGGAGACCTTTATGGGGGGACTCATCAGACAAGTGGGAGCTCACACCAGCTTTTGCAATCCTTGGATGGATCTTCTCCCTGTGGCTGAAGCCTTACCCTGTAGGTGTAGTCCCAGCCCTGGAGGAAATAAAACACCCCTGTGACGTCCTCCAGGCTGGGGTATGGGAACACACATGGGCTGGAACCTGGTGAGAAGACCTCAGCCGGATTATTTTATCAGTTCGGATCATGAGAAGCCTTCTTTTGACATTCTGTTTTGGCAGTCCTGACACTAAAACCAGAAAGTCTAGTAAACAACTACTTTTTTTTTTTTTTTAGGGAAAACATAGTGAAAAAATTTCACATCTCAAAAAAAAAGCACTAATGGTTTGCACTTGGGAAAAGCTTCTGATGCTGCCTGGGAGTCTGTCCTATCTGAACACTGGAGATGAATTTCTCTATCACCTATAACAGCTTATTTTCTGGTTTTGTTTTTTTTTCCTTCAGTTCTTTACTTGAACAAAGCGCCTGCGTTTGAATAATTCATTGATGAGGTTTGTACCACTTTGTTCACAAAATCACAGCAGGGAGTGATGTTTTTCATGAAATACTTCTTTGCCAGCTCCTCTCTGTGAAGGAGTCTTGCTCCGTTTGCTCGCTTGTCAAAAGTCTGCCAGGCGGCGAAGAGCAACACACCCCATGGGCTGCTAAAATGGGGGTGATGAGGGGATGCTGGGGCGGCACTCCCTCGTCTGGCTTTAGCCATCTAGAAGGGAAATGTCTGCATTTGAGATGAAGAGTGCTGTGACCCTTCAGCGTCACAGGAGGAAGATGCCTCCAGCACTCTGGATCTCCCCGGTTCCCTCCACAAAATCCTGATGGAGGTGACTAGCCCAGGTTTAGGTAAATAACCTTTACCCGTTGCAATTAAGGCAGGTGAATCCTGCCACAAGTTGCTGAATCAAGGAGGAGAAAGATGCTCTTATGAAGGCAGTGGTTTGGGATTATGAATAACCATCCTGTTTCTGCTGCAGATTTCTTATGCAAGGTAATACCCACGTGCTCAGATGCCTAACTTATAAACAGGGAATAAGCCATCTTCCTCTTGCAAAATACCGGGAGGAATTAGTCATATATATCAACCTCACATTCGAAAAGCAATGGTGGAAGGCATCACGAATAGGAAGTTGGAGTGAATTACTGAGATATCTATTAGCATGTTAACATGTATTTAAAATACATAGTTGGCAAATCTGACTGCCAGAAAATTTGCTAATAATGAATATAAATGAGGCATGAACAGACTTAGCAATTTAATTAGAAAAAAATGAACTATTACTGTTGTCCCAATATTTTTACCCTCTCATAATGTTGATAAAAAATTCACAAACCTTTCAGGCAGATCAGTGCTTGGTCAAAGCCTTTGGCCTTTAGTTTATTATGGCAAGACATCAACGTGTGAAAGACGTGGCTTCACTTTCCATGCTGCCGTCCTCACAAACATTAAAAAGGATGGATTTGGATAAAGCAAGGAAATCAGGCTCTTTACTCCGCAACCAGGGGGGAGAGAAATTTGCTGTTTCCCATTCTAACTCCTAAAACTTCTTATCGTTACCAACTCTTTAATGTGGAGCAATTTGAGTGTCTCCTTTAGCTTCAAAGATAAACGCAAGGGAGATTTCAATTTGGATTAATCAGAGGAGGACTGGAGTTGAATCGGGAAGCCCTTACAGGTGCTTGGGAAAAGCAAAACCTCCCTCCTTGGCTCAGTCCTCAGTGCACCACGTTACTGCTCACCAGTGAAGAGGAAGACTACTTTTCTCTTGTCGTGGCACAAAAGAATGATGCAAATAGAGTTGAAGGTAGAAGTGGGAGAAGGATTGATTATTCTGAGGTAATAAATATCACCGATACAGCCCAGTTGCTTTATTAAGTGGTATGGAAAGGGCAGGGAAATGGTTTCAAAGGAACAAGAGCTCTATAAACACTTCTCTCCTCCTG